ATTCTATTCTAGCTTTTTTGCAAATCGATTTTTGATTGCCGATAAATCAGAAGGGAATAGCTTGTACGGGCGGGTAGTACCTATGGTACCAAATTTGCAAGCCCGTAGCTCTGAAAATAAGGGTATAGAGGTAAAGTAATTATTGAGGTATATTATTAAGTAGCGGCGTGGGAGGGAAAATACTAGATTGCATATGAGAGATCCGGTATTTATAAGAGTAGGATAAAGAACTATTCTTTGTAATCCCTTTTCTCTGGAGCTCCAGATCTAATTATATATATATCCGTAATCCGCAAGTCCGTAGATCTTATACCCTTGTTTAATTGGCTTCTTGGGCATTTTATACGTATGTAAGGATCTAGAATAATTAGCGGGGTAGCGGGGTAAGAGAGAAAGAAAGAGAAATATACCTGCCAAAGTACCGGACCATAAGCTCATTAATACTTACTTTAGATAAAGGCGAGTAATATTATTAAGAGAAAGCTTGAATAGAAGAAGCAAGAGGTTCAAGCTTATACCACCAGACCTTATTAGAAGGTAAGTAATTCCTATTTTGCTCGTTATTTATAGGATATGAAATATGGTAATACCGCTTGATTTGCTCAAAGCGGTAGTATGGTATATGGCTCGTAATTAAGTGTAAAGGACCTTTATTAAAGTCTGAATTCCAGTATATCTCAATTTGAGGCTTAGTATGGACTCCCATATATATAATAGTACCGAGGAACACGTGTAGCTTCTTCATAAGCAGATCTGTCCATTCTCGTACCTATTCCCCCTTTATATATAGCCTCTGCAGGCTCGCATATCGATTGGTATTCGTAGTAATCGTCTGGAAGAGCTCGGGAGTAAAGAATAGGCTAAAGTAATCGAATGGGTATGGTTTTGGAGGGAAGATAGGAGGTAGAATTGCTCATATGGACTGTTTAGGCTCGGGTTGAAAAGGTTCAAAATAGACGTCTATAATTGGTCCAAGTCTAAAGAGTATATTTTCAAGGGATTGGGTATGTTTTTGCCCCGTAGGCCCTAAAGGTGGGCTAGAAGGTAGGCTAGAAGAATCGCTCATTGCATGAGTGCATAAGTGGTGGGGAATTCCTGGATGCGATTTCATCCATGCGATATAGATTACTAATAAATTTATATACAGAGATACATAAATCTTATGCTAGGTAAGCCGTGCGGGACCCCCCTGCTTAGTGCGGGAATACCCCCTTGCTAGCGCTAGACAGTTTCCAGCGGACGAAGGAATAGTTATATAACCTTGTATCCTATTAGTAATTCGACTAGTAGACTAGACCCCTTTAGGCTTAGCAGATTTAGGGATTATATATTAATACTATAATACTATAATTCCTATTTCTAAATAATAATAACTTTATTAACTAATATAACTAGTATTTCTATACCTATATAATAGTACTAAGTATTACTAATAAACCAATACTAATTAGTTTATATATATAGATTAGAGAAGATTTTAGATTAGTCCTAAAAGTATTTAGTAGCCTAAGACAAATCTAGTCTATTCTATATTAAAGAGGGGAACTACTTATTAACTTTATAAAAGTATTTAGTAGCTTATAGAAAAGATATCTAGCTCTTACTAATTAATAAATAATTAGCCATTTAACTATTTATCTATTTAACTTCTACTATTCTTTAAAACCAACTTCTTTTAGTCCCAAGACTACTTTCTTAGAAACTATCTTTTCTACTTATATAATACCTGTATTTATAGGACCCTCTCTCCGGAATATATACTTTATATATACCCTTAAAGCTATTTAATTACTACTTCGATTTTACTATTAAGTCAAGTTCTTTAAGCTTTAGACCTTCCCGGAATTATAATATTTTACTTCCTAAATTTCTTGTTATAAACAAAATATTTAAGGGCGAAATATTTACTTTAATACCTATAATATCTCTAGATATCTGGGATATCTGGAATCTGAATTAGATATCTGGATATCTTTACTATTAAATCCTTTCTATAAACCTATTATAAACTACCTTACCTTTAAACCCCTCCTGCTATAAATCATATATATATACTAGGGAGAACCTGAACTTGGTTTAGTATAAATACTAATAAGGAAAAGGAACTAATTGAGAAATAGGAGAATAGTATTAATCTAATAACTATAATAAAGGCTGAACTTCAGAAATATATAATTACTAAGATATATTAGTATATCTTATATAGGAAGAGTAATAATAATCTATAAAATCTGTTCTAGAATAATTTTAAAAACTTTAATACTATAATATATAATCTAATTAATTATATGCTTATATAAAATCTTTGAGCCTAACTTTAGTATAGTAGTATCTATATTAAATAGAACTATAGAAACCTTACTATTATATAATTCTTTATTAATCTTATCTAAAAAGAAATAAAGAATATATAGAATAAAGCTAATATTATTAATAATAATCTAATTAGAATAGATCTTTTTCAGGGACCTATTATATTAGTTTATTTTACTTTAGATAGAACTAGATATAAGAGAACTAGATAATCTCAGTCGAGAAATTAAGCTATCTATTTACTTTTTCTAAATTAAGGCTATCTACTACTTTTATCTTTACTACTACTAGTATTACTACCGAACCCAAACTACTATTAATTAATACCTACTATTTCTACTAGGAAGCTTATTAGGGAAATAGTAAAGATATACTTCGAAATATAGAAATATAATAGAACTAATAATAGTTTTAATTATAAACTTACTATTTTTCTCGATATTTGCTAATATATAAAGCTTCTAGAAAAGGCACTAGTAAAAGCTTTTCCTATTATATTAAAGGAACTAGTATAAGACTACTTCTATAATAACTAGCTCTCGAGCCATATATATAAAGAGGCCTATATAAATATCTATAGCTTTTTTAAAGGCCCCGGTTTTTATTATTAAAATTTAGATAAATAGAATACTATTACCTTAGTAACTATAATAGTAAAGAACCCTAAAAAGACAATATTTGAGCTTATTTAAATACTAATTAATAATTTATATAAATTATAATATGGCCTTATTCCTGCCTTATAAAATATTAAATTCTTATATAATAAAATTATTATCTCCTATTAAGGCTTACTAGTATACTAATATATAGTCTCGGACTCTTCTAATAATCTCGGCTAGCTTATTAATAAGCTCTAATTATCTATTACTATTTATAAGAAGAAGTAATAAATTATTACTAAAACCTATTTTACTAATTAATAATACTATTCTTAAAACCCTCTAAACTATTATTCGTCCGGAAATTATTAATACGGACTTAGCTATAACTTCGGAACCTGTAATAATTATTTCAAGTCCCGTAATTATAATAAGTATATTCTAAAATTATATTTTATATATAAGAGACCCGAATACCGCTTATAAAAATATATATTAGAGAAATAAAAAGCCGAGAAAACTTGATTTAAGAATAGAAACGTTTACTAATTTAGATTCCGAAATATCTATAATTTTAATAAATACTTTAGTAATACTTATATATAATATATTACCGAATTTAAAGAAAAAGAGGATAATAAAAGTAGTAAGGACAAACTAGTAAGTAATGCTTTTAAAGCCTTACTAGCAGAAATAAATAAAGGAAAAGAATATTACTCTAATTCCTACTTTACTTCTATTAAGAGTTTCCTAGCCGCTCCTATAGCCCCTGCTCCTACTATTTCTATAACTAATACTTTTATAAATAACCTCATTTCCTTTTCTCTTATATACCAGATAATAGGCGAAAATCATACCTTAAAGCCTATTAAATAAATAGAAGATATCCAGATATTTATAATTAATAGTATATTAAGATATAATACTTATTACTTTTATAAAGTTATAATTAATACTAGAGCTTCTAGATTCTTAATTACTAGTTCTAACTAATTCCAAGCTTTATAGCAAACTAATAATAGTATTAAACTTAACGAAATTACTAAAGGTTAAATTAATATCTAGTTTAGTATTAGATCTATATTTTCTATTAGATCTATAATAATAAGAATACTAATTAGGTAAGTATAATTCTATATTATACCTATAAAGATTCTATTCCTATTTAGCTTAACTAATATAGATAAGCTAGAAGTTTATTTTAATAATCTTACTAATTATCTTATTACTTCTAATAAATACTTCATACCTATAATATAATGTTTTAGATACTTTTTCCTGCTTTAGAATACTACTCTATAAAGCTTTATTTCCGAATTCTTTACTTATAACTTCTGCTTTCTTATAAAAATCGAATTATAATATCTATATTACTATTTTAGTTATCTATTTATTAGTAAGCATTAAAACGTACTAGAATAAGCAGGCTATAATATTAATATAGAAGCCCTTAAGTACCTTATAAAGTACTATAAGTAATACCAGAAATTCGAATAATTACCGGAATAATTTAAGTTTAACCTAAAAGATAATATTAGCTTTAATTACTCTATTATTATTAATATTTTCTATATTTCCGGTAAGCCTATATTTTATATTATTAATAAAGGTACTAGATATTAAGCTAGCTAATAGCTTTAAAATATTAATATATTATATACTTGGGATGCCCTAAAGTAGTATTAGATTAATACCTATTTAGGCCCTCCCGATTAGATTATAATAGATATTAGAAAGCAGTTTACTAGTAAGGAGTTTATTTAGCTTATAAATACTATAAAAATTAAGGTTAAAATTATTTCCGTAGAAGCTTATAGTTCTGTCTGAATTATAGAATACTACTATAGCCCGATTTAATATACTTACCTTATTATTATAGCCGAAATTAATAGAATTAATAAGGATACTATATTTCAAATAGCTTTTAAGGCTATTAATAATTTTATTAGACCTAATAGTATTATCCTAATCCTCTTGGTTTATAGTACTTTACTCTAAATAACCGAATATAATACCTTATTACTAACTATATTATAGTAATTAGTAATACTTAAGAAAGTAATAGTAGAAATTCAGAAGCTTTAAGCTAGATACCAGATTATGAATACCCTAAATACCCGAAATAATCTTAGTATTACTAATATCTATAAACTTCCCTTAAATTCGAATATTCTCGTATAGTATAAAGGAAATACTAATTAATCTAGTAATTGGGATGGGCTATATAAGCTAGTAGCCATTAATGGGAAGAACTATATACTAGCTTTATTATATAGTAATACTACCTTTTACTTAATCTCTATAAAGCCCTTTTATATAGGGAATATTAAGGTTATTACTAATAGCCCCGAATCTAAACCTATTCCCGAACTTTATAGTAAGGCTAAAGGTAATACAGGTATAATTCCTCCTGCTATTCCTGCTATTTTACTAAAGTATAGTAAAGAATACTCTTATAAGAACCCGGATTTTACGGTATTCCTATAGGATAATAACTTATATAAGAACTCCTATTAAGTTGAAATTACTAGTCTCCTAGAAAAGGGCATATTTAAGGTTATTTCCAGATCTCAGGTACTAAAAAATATATATATTTTCAATTTCCGGTTTATTAATAAGATTAAGAATAAGGGTATAAAGAGAAAGTTTAAGAAGTCGAGACTAGTTATTTAGGCTTTATAATAATAGTAAGAAATATATAATATTAATATAATTACTTATTATTTAATATATTAGCTAGAGAATTATTTTTAGTATTACTATTATAATAATAGATATTATAGAGCTATATTTATGTAATATCTCATAAGCTTATATCTAATTAATAACCTTATTTAATTATAATTTTTATATTAACTCACCTTATAAGCTTACTAGAAAGCTAAATCTAAATAATAATTCGATTCTAAAAGTTATAAAACTATTATATAGCATACTAGAAGCCGGGAACTACTAGTTTAAGACTTATTATTCCTACTATATTAACGAGCTTTCTATAGAATAGTTAACTTATAACCCTTATTTCCTCTATAACAAGTAATTCTTCGGAATTATTAGCCTTTAAACTAATAATACCCTATTTATCGGAACTAATAATTTTGCGAAAATAGAGTAACTAAAGCTCTAAGAGGCTAAGTTCTTAGCTAAGAAGCGTAAATACCTTACTATTAACTATAATCTCAAGTTTAATAGAGGTATTATTTATATAGATATTACTAGAATTACTCTTATATAGGAATACTAGTATAAAAACCTCCGAATCATTTCTATAAAAAATACTATTACTATAAGTAGTAGGGGTACTATTTATTAAGATCTCTTTATTAAAGACTAATATATTACCTAATATACTAGAGGAATATATATTATATTAGTCTATTAACTAGAAGCTTTATATAACCTATTAATTACTACTTAAGCTATTAAACCCTTAAAAACTAATATAAAAGTACTTAATAAGTGTATTTAATAGCAAATTAAGAATATTACTAGAGAACTGAGATTTATAAAGCTAGTAAAAAAGTTCTTATATTTAATTGTTTTTATAAATACTTTATTTATAAATAATAGAGATCTCTTTTCCTAAATTAGATATATTCTAGTTCTAGTAGATAGAACTAGATATACTAATATTATTTACTAGTTCTCTACTAAATACAAGAGAGTTACTAGAAGTATTCTAGCTTTGGAACTCTATAGTATGGCTTATGGTTTTAATATAGGCGCTTTAGTTAAATCTATAATTAATAAAGTACTAGAAATGAAATTATTACTAGTAGTCTATATAGATTCGAAGTCATTATATAAATGCCTTATTAAATTAGGAACTACTCGAGAAAAGCGTCTAATAATTAATATAATATATCTTTACTAGATATATAAATAATAAGAGATTATAGAAGTTAAATAGATTAAGAGAGAATTAAATCCTACTAATTCTATAATAAAATCAAAGCTAATTAATACAAATATTATATAATTAAATATAGAGAAATAAGTTAAGTATAGATAGGGCGAGAAATAGATATATAAGATAAGAAAATATTATAAAAAGAGAAGTTATATATAAAAGACTATAGCCTTTAGTATATAACTAAAACCTCGGAAGTAATATAGATATATAGAGTGTTTGAGAAATCTGGTACTAGGCCAGATTAGGAAATTTATATATAATTAGAGAAAGATACTATTTTTTATGTTTTTAGAAAGTTTCTAGTATTAGTATAGCTATTTCTTTAGGAGTCACGTATATAGTTACGGGATACGGGATACGGGATATAGGTAATGGGATATAGGTAATAGGATATGGGTAATAGGATATGGGATACGGAATATAATTATATAACCTCGTATCCTATTAGTAACTTAACTAGTAGACTAGACTTCTTTAGGCTTAGCAGATTTAGGGATTATATATTAATACTATAATACTATAATCCCTATTTCTGAATAATAATAACTTTACTAACTAATATAACTAGTATTTTCATACCTATATAATAGTGCCATATATTACTAGTAAACTAATAATAAAAGAAAATTAAAAATTAAAAAAATTAAAAGTATTAAGTTTCTAGAATTAAGAAATTAAATAATATAGAACCGGAAACTAAAAAGAAAAAGAAAAAATAAAGCCTAGTATTACAACTAGTAATAGTATTAAAAGAAATAGAAAAATACTAGAATTTCTTATAAATTCTTTTATTTTAGATTTAAAAAATTTAGGAAATTAATAATATTTTTTAAAGAAAGTAAAATAGAAGAGATTTTAGTTAGAATATTATTAAAAATAATTCCGGATTTAATAAGAAAAAAAGTAAAAAGAATATTAAATAAAGATATTTTTAAAGAAAAAATAAAATAATATCTTTTAATAATAAAGAAATATATTTTCGAAATTATAAAACTTAAAACCTAAAACTAAAAAGAATTCTAAAATATTTAAAAGCTTAAGAAAAATATTTTAAAATACTAAATAAAATAATGTTTTTTATATCTAAATAGAGAAAAACTAAATAAGAAAATTATAAATAAAAATAATATTAAAAAAAATAGTTATAGTTTTTAAAAATAAAAATAATAATTATAGTTTATTTCTAGTTATAAAAATATATAAAGTAAAGAATAAGAAGATTTAATTAATAAATACTAATAATAAAACTAAAGAAAGTTTTAATAAATATTTAAATTAGTTTAAGAAATTTAAGATTAAAGAATATTTATAGAAATATATTAGGAAATATAAGAATTACTTTTTATTAAAAATATTACTTATTCTAAAAGATTTATAACTTATTTCGAAATATCTTAAATAATTAGATATTAGTAATTAATTCTAGAAAAAAGAAATTAGTTATATTTCGAGAATTAATAATTAATTAAGAAAATATAATTATATTTAAGTAAAAAATAAGAAAAATTTATAAAAGTATTAGTTTATTTATTCTAATTAAAATTATTAAATATAAAGCCTAATAAAAAAAGAATTTCCTATATTCTAAAACTCTAATACTAGTAATAATAAAAATATTATTAGAATATCTAAATTATAAAATTTATAAAAAATATAATAAATCTTATTAGAATTTGTAATTTATAATTATAAAAAGAATTACTAGAACTTATAAACTAATTAATACTATTATAAAAATAAATTTAATAAATTTATAAAATATTAATTTATTCTTATTTATTAATAAAACTTTAAAGAAATTTATTAAATATATTTATATTTCTCTAATTAATTTCTTTTCTAAATATAATTAATTTATATTAAATATAATTATATTATTTCAAGAAACTATTAATTTTATTATATAATTTATTATAATTATTTTAGAAAATCTATTTCCTAAAATTATTATATTATTTATTAATAATATTAGAATAAAGAAACTTTATATAAATTATAATAAATAGCTTATTTTATTTAATATTTTATATATTTAAATACTTTTAAAACCTAAATATAACTTTAGATATAATTAAATAAACTGGAACTAATATTAGAAAAAATTTATAATTCTTTTATAATTCTATTATAATTTTATTATAATAATATAATTAAAAATAAGATATTTATTAGAAGTATTATTTATTATTATATTTGAATTAAAGGTTTTATAATTATTATTAAATTCATTTATTATTTAATAAAAAAAATATAATATAAAAATAAAGTAATAAATAAATATAAACTATATAAATTCTTTTTAAAAAAAACTTATTATTATTTTAATATTTAATATATTATATTATAATATATTAAAAAAATAGGAAATAATTATATTAGTAATAAATATTAGCCTAAATAAATAAAGCAGAACCTTTAATTAATATAATAATAAAGAAAAAAAGAAAATTATCTAATATAAATCTAGAATCTAAAATAATATTAAATAGAAATATAATATTACTAAAAGAAAATATTAAAAACTAATAAAATATTTATAGAAAATATAATATAATAAAAGCTATAGTTTTTTATATATAATCTTTAATAAAATAATTCTTTTTTATATTATCCTATATTTGGATTACTCTAAGTAATTAGCTCTCGGGGCTTCTTAGAAAAAACTTTTATATAATAAATATAAAACTTTCTTTCTTCTAGAGAATTACATATTAGTATATAATTATATTCAAATTCTTAGAGCTTAGCTTAAGATAAGAGAAAAGAAGCTTAAGTATCTTTCGTTATATTTTAGTAGTTCTAAAATATAAGAGGCTTTTATTACGATTTTTTAAAGCTCGGAGAGAGGGTTTCTTAAGGCTCTTACTAGCTCTAAATATACTAAAAAAAACTTAGCCTTATATTACTTTTCTTTTCTTTTTCTCTTTATATTTTCTTTTTTATTTTCTTTTAATAATAGATAATTCTAAGACTTATTTATTATATATTAGATACTTACTATTTTTAGCCTTTCCTTATAGGCCTATAGGCGCTATTCATAAGACCTATATAGCTTATATGGTCTGTATTTCTCTTCTTTATTTTTAATTCATTTAACTAGTTTCTAGAAATAGTAATATATCCGGATTACTAATTAGTATTCTATCTTATAAGAACTTAATCTAAATATTCTTTTTATTTCCCGGTAATAATAATAGTTAATTACGGATATTTCTATAAACGAGCTAGCCCTATAATACTAGTAATAAATCCGTTAATTATTTATTATAGCCCTAGTTAATATCTTAGAGAACTTTTCTATAGACTTACCTATTATATGACTTTCTAACTTTTTTTTATACTTCCGGCTAGCTCCTATATATATAACTAGTTTGCTTATAGGTTACTATATAGCTTATAGAGC